AGCTTCAGAAAAGTGTAGACATTGAGGTCATGCAATAACCTAGCGGATTTGTTCACAAAGGCATTGCCAACTACGACATTTAGGAAGATGATCAATGGTATTGGAATGCGTCAACTCAAGGATCTTTTGCCATGTTCAGGGGGAGCATTATAAGCACTGTACTCTTTTTCCTTCGTCCAAGTTTTTGTCCCATTGGGTTTTTCTTGGCAAGGTTTTAACGAGGCAGTGTCATAAGCTCAAGTCTACCTAAATGGTGAACATCCAAAATCCAAGGAGGGTGTTATGTACAAATGTCTTTTGATGTTCTCCATGTCTAAGTTAGACTTTTGATTTTCCCCTTTGTAAGCCTATATATAGAGGCTCCATATGTTGAAATGAGATATCCATATCTTTAGTCTCTCATTGCATTCTTTCTCTTTCACTCTCCATTGCACTTTGATCTTCCATTTGTGTTCTTATCAAGGTATATCTCTATCATATTGTTATTGATAATATTTCTATTATCTTTATTCTTAATATATATATATATATATATGGAGATTTAAATTTTAATTTTATTTAATTCATAATAAATTATTAATATAAATTTTTATAAGAAATATTGTTATAATATATAATAAGAAATAAATACAAAATGATTGTTTTTTTTGAACGCAAAGATCTTCCCCGCTAGGTGAACTAAGCTCTTTTTGGCCCGTCACGGTCGCAGGGTTGCTCTGATACCATTTGTAACACCTCGGCCCCCACCCTGGCTGTAAGTGTCCGCTCATAGGATTGTAGACTGTTCTCACAAACCAACACAAGTCTTTCCCGCACACTTTGTCCTCATTCGTGGGCGCCCAAGGAAAACTTCCCAGGGGGTCACCCATCCTAAAATTGCTCCAAGTCAAGCACGTTTAACTTTGAAATTTTAGGTGATGAGCTCTCGAAAAGAAGATGCACCTTGTTGGTATGAGTAGTACTATTAATCCTTTTGAGCTATTCCCATTCCCATCTTGATACGGGGTATTACAATATATATATATATATATATATTCATTTTTGTACATTTAAAAACTAAATCTTTAATATATGAAGTATTAAATGACACTTTCATATAAATCATGAGAAACTACTAATATACAATTTTTATTTATTTGACTTTTGATTTTATCATTTCATTTATTTTGTTTTTTTTTTAAATTTAAGATCTTATTTTTTATTTTTTAACTTTTATTTATTTTTACATATACTCCCTTCGTCCTAAAATTGACTTTCCATTTGACCTGTCATTGTCTTCAATACAACATTTTGATCATCAATATCTCTATTTTTATATAATTATATATTATAAAAATATTATATTTCAAAACTATGTTTCAAAATAAATATATTTATATTAAAATTTAATTTATTTTTTCCGTAATTTATGGTCAAAGTTTAAAAGATTTGATAACAAAGTCAATCTGAGAAGTTAATTTTAGGACGGAATGAGTAATATTGAATATGTTTCAAGAAAAATAATTAAAAAATTTATTTTTCTAATATTCAAGTTTAAAATATATTCCTTTCGGATTTTCATATTTTAAGTTTTTTTGATCAGATAACTAAGCAGAAAAGTCATTCGTCAAACAAAAATATGAATTATTTAATTACATTAAAACCCCAAAATCAGTTAAAAGTTCAAAAACTATTCGAAAAGGTTGTTTTCCAAACAGATCCTATATTAACCATTAAAAAGTCAACGTGGTGTTGTCACTTATTCCCCAAAAGAGATTCTCCTACCGTTGAGCCGTTCACTTATTGCAAAATCTAAAAATCAATGCCAACTCTTCAATCCTAGTAATTGGGATGAGTATACAAAGTCAAGATGGACTTTACAAGCCTAATTAGAGACGGTTCGGGTGACATGAAATCTACATATCATCTTATGATATAGGCCTCGATTAGAGTATCTGCGATGTTCCGTTTAAAAAAACTGATGGTTCATACCCTCCATAACTCCCCAATAAACCCCCACCCCCAGCCCAGTCCGAACATATCCCTGTACTCTCGTCAATTGCATGCCACAAGATTTAGTTGATTTTGGAGTCAAAATTGACAGGGTGCGGGGGTATGTTCAGGCTGGGCCGGGGTGGGGGGTTTATCGGGGGGTTGGGGAGAGTAGAAACCATCAAATTTTCGAACGGAACATAGTATAAACTTCGGGTCATCCCATGACATCGAGATCCAATGTCATTGGAGCTTATGTGGTCTTATTAATGAAGAGTTGCCCTTTTTTCTATTATTACAGATTATTGTTGTTGTTGTTGTTGTTAATTACGGAGTATACAAAAATGTAAATGCCCATTTGACAATAGTTTTAACATTTTAAAAAAACCAGTACTATCTCACAACAACGTTCAACTATAAGTATATAACATTTTCATAGTTAATCTATGTCGTACAATTTGGAAATAGATTCAGCGTTTTATAAAAAAAGTATCTAAATTGTATCATGCAAAATTATTATTTTTAAATATTTTTAGAGTTAATTTCATCACTAAAAAACTAAATAAACCTCTAACACGAATTGTAAATAATGTTGTTCCAAAACAAATTAAGATCGCAAACATTACGAGTCGAGTACCTGCTTTTTTAGAGAAAATTTATGATTCCTACCCTCCTAACCCACCCTCTAAACCCCTACTCTTGACCCACCCCCACCCCAACCCCTCCCTGATCTTCCCTTCCGTAAAGATTGTTACAGTTTGACTTTTTTGTCCAACTGTGGCATCTTTTGAACAAGAATTATGGAAAAAGTATGTTTAAAAAAATTGGGTTTTTTTAAAAAATAAAGTAAATTAAGTAAAACTAGGTTTATTTTAAAATATATTTTTGACATATCAAATTTTTGTAATATTTAATTTATGATCAAAGAGTACCACAATTTGATCAAAAAAGTCAAATTGTAACAATCTTTAAGGGATTGAGGAAGTATTGTAGAACTCTTTTATAAATAAACACATTCAAATTACGGAGTGAATTAAAAAAAACCAAAGTCATAGACTTTCTCATACAAAATAAATTTAAAAAAAACATATCAAATTAATATGAAGTATTAATTTAATTTTAATATTCAATAAATGAAGTATTTATTGAAATTATCAGATTGAACAAATACTACAACAATAATATGAAAGCTGCTTAACAAAAATGGGGTACCACAGATGTCCAATGTTTGCATAATATGTTTAAAAAGTTGTGAATATTGGCATACACAATATCTACATTCAACCACTTTTTAAAAAATAATTTGTGGGAGGAAACAAGAAAAAAATACAAGGGGCACCCCAGGTAATACATAAACTAGTATATCACCTATCGCCCAACCCCATATTTCTCGATATATATGGATAGAAAAATTGGAGAGCGGATACTCTTTCAACTCCATAAAAAAAGTTCCATATTTTTCACTGTCTCAAAAAGTATTTCATTTTTTTTATTTCTTGAAAATAAAAATCACGACCCTTATAATTTTCTCTCATCGATATTCATCACTTTCAACAATATAGTACTACGGGTATCAATTTTTAATATTTGTGTGACCGAAAAACATAGCTCAAGTGGTCGTTAGGGACCATTATCAATATATATTTCAAATGAAACACCGTAAGCTAACAGCTTCGAATCATTTCAAAACATTGGTGACTAATGTCGGAGAATCATATATCCTTGTATAATCAGATCATAGTTTTTCACTAATAATTTATCTTTCACATCTTACTTTTATCTATCACATCAAAGAAAAAAATTAGAAAATCAATTATAATTTAACCATTCATTTTTTTGGTTTTTAATCAAATTAAGAAGTGTTTTTTCAAACCAAACAAGTATATCCTCCTAACATTATTCAAAATGAAAAGTGACATACTAAAAGTTTGCCGGGCATGTAGAGGGCAAATAGCCCTTACGGCTATGACGTAATTTTATACGGAGTACGTGATTGAGCCCATAACGACTTGCAAATGACGACAATGAATTTTACCCCAAAAAGTTAAAATAAATTTTAATTTTTGGATGTATAAAATAAATAATACGGAGTAAGAACAAAGTCATATTCTCTTTAATTTATTCTTATTACTTACTCCCTTCGACCTACAAAATTCTTCTCTTTTTCCTTTTCATCCGTCCTAAAAAATCTTTCTCTTTTCTATTAAAAAGTCAATTTTATCCATAATAATTCTTAACTAACCTATCACATCATACTTTTTCTCTATTATTCTATTCATCACATGCATCCTGTTTTATCCATCACATCAAGGGCATTTTTGGAAAGTCAACACCAAAATACACTCCCCTTAAATCCTTTAAAAGTCAAAATGTGAAGTTTAAGTTTTTGCGGGACGGAAGGAGTATTATTTTTTTTATTAGAATCAGATCAGACCAGATCAGATCAAAAACAGATTTCAATATAACTATATTCATCTCAGACCAAAGCAGATCAAAATTTATTCCAATGAAATTATAAGGTGAAGAGAACATGACCTAAGTTCGGCCTTCCACTTTACATATACTAGTAGTATAAAATCCCTCTATCCTACATTATTATATCCTCTACATAAATTTCTTATTTGAAAAAATAAAACATAATCTAGCTTCATATAGTAATAAAAATCTCTTATTTAATTATTTAATTACGGAGTACCATCAGTATATATATCCCTCCATAGTTATTATTGAATCTCAACCAAGCAACGAGTAAGTTTATTTTATTGTTCTCTCTTTACTTTAATTTGCAAGTTAATTAGTTCTATACAATAAAATAATTTTACATCTATCTCAAGTTAATTCAATACAGTTAATTTTATTATTAATTACATTCCTTATTTTCTTATTTACTTGTTGTATTGCGTTTTTTTGTGCATGCATCTTAGTTTACAACTTTCCCGCTATTTCATTTTGATAGTCTAATATTCTTAAAATCAATATATACTTAATTAACTATACTATAGCGCGAGTTAATTAACAATACTAAAAAAGTAATTTTTAATTAATAATGTTCATTATTTAACAAAATTGCAATTATATATTCATTTCTCCGATCCCTCTGTCCAAAAATAGATTATTACCTTATTATTTAATCCCTAAAATTACTTTTATTTTGATAAAATAAAATATTTTTCAATTATACGAAGTCTTTTGTAAAACTTTTGGCCTACTGTAATTTTTTAAAAATATATATATATTTTAAAAAATATATATATTGATCACAAATAGTTCATTCGGTGATATTAATGTTTTATTTATGGACTTGTTCTAAGCCCTACTGTTTTTCCTATGTTGACAGTACTAGCATAACTACATTTATGGAGGGTGAATATACCTACATTGATCATGACGATGAGGTTTTTGACGATGAATGGTACTTTGTGGGAGAAGATGACCAAGAAGAAGACCAGAACAACAACAACAACGGTGGCGGCTTTGGGAGCCTGTTCCCAAACATAGACAGGGACAACTCCGTCGCGTGCCTCGTCCGGTGCTCGCGGTCCGACTACGGCGCCCTGTCCGCCGTCAACCGGAGCTTCCGCGCTCTGATCAAGAGCGGGGAGATCTACCGGCTGCGGCGGACGAACGGCGTTGCGGAGCACTGGGTGTGCTTCTCGTGCAGCCTCGGTGAGGAGTGGGACGTCTTCGACCCCGAGAGCGGGTCCTGGAGGCCGCACCTCCCCCCGATGGGGTCCAACGAGATCTTCATGTGCGCCGACAAAGAGTCTCTCGGGGTCGGCACCGACCTCCTCGTTGTGGGACGGGAGATGCACTCTCCAGTCATTTACCGCTACAGTGTCGTTACCAATGCTTGGTCGTCGGCCAGAACGATGACCGAGACCAGGTATAGTGCTAACTCCTGCCACTACTACAAAAAAGACCTTTTAAATCTGTTATTTTTATCTTTTTAAATAAGTTTTGAACCGATGCAAAAGCCAGCGATGCAAATGCTCAGGTTACTTTTTACATGGATTGTAAAGCCTCTACCCAGAAAACTTTTACACTTTTTTTTGAATCTATTTTCGTCTAAGAGAGTATAATTAATAACGTTACATCTTATTTAAATCTCTCAAAGTATTTTCAATCAAACATTATAATTCAAAATGTCAATGATTTTTTGTGAGGAGGAATTACTATATAGTAGAACTAGGTATTATATATTTCAAAGAGTAAATTCCATAAAAGGTCCTCAGTTATAGGTCGTTTTACATATTTAGTCCCTACATATCAAATATTACTAATTTAGTCCCCAATTATTAGATTAATTTTCACGAATGGTCCTTTGTTAAAATTTTCGTTAAGAACGTGGATAAAATTGTATATGCATACTTCTCTCTCTCCTCAATTAAGCTTCCTCTTCCTCCTCTCGTACTCTTTCCCAAACTCGTCGCTGAGTTTGAAGCTCTAAACCCAAAACTGAAATGATCACTCCTCTCTCAATTATTAGTCTTCTTGGTGGAATCTAAAATCAAAACTAATAAGCTTTATGGATGAGCTTTATCGGTTAGTCTCAAGAAACTGCAAAGAAAATAAACATTAAAACTCATCAATGAAGGTTACTGATTTCGAATTTGGGTTCCACCAGTTCGACAAACAATTGAGAGAAGAGTGATGATTTCGGTTTTGAGTTCAAAGCTTCAAACTCAGCGACGGGTTTGGGAAAGGAGTGCGAGGTAAGGGAGGAAGCTTAATTAAGGAGAAAAAGAAGTGTGAATTTACAATTTTATCCACATTCTTAATGAAAATGTTAACAAAGGACCATTCGTGGAAATGAATCTAACAATTGGGGACTAAATTAGTAATATTTGATATGTAGGGACTAAATATGTCAAACGACCTATAACTAGGGACCTTTTATGGAATTTACTCTATTTCAAATGTCTCAATGTATTTATAAAATTTGACTTTTGATATGAAAAATGTTATGGACTTTGATAATTAATTAGATAAAAATTAGATTAAATATTGATACAAAATTTACTTCATTAAATCTATCTTGTAAAATATTACTCCGTATATTATTGTATTAATTAATACTCCGTATGAAATGTAATTTTATAATTATTATTTAAAGATCACTTCTGTTGACTAAAAAAATGGAAAATCAAAATGTGACCGGAGGAGTATGTTCCCAATGTTACGCATGTAAAATGTTTGGATGCATGTAACGGTCCGTAATGTTTTAATTTTATGCTTGTAACGGTCAATATGAGCCTTTTATTTATCAAATCTTCTTCATCGATAAATTTTTTTTCCTTTTCAATTTAGGAAGATTAACAAAATTAAAGTAGTTTTTAATTTACCGTATTTAAAATTTTAAAACAAAATTACTATATTTAACTTATATATCACATTATATGTACCCTTTTACTACTCCGTATTAATCTACTCATTACATCTTACTTCTTTCCATCACATCAAGAGTTTTTTGAAAAGTCAATACAAAAATATCTCTTTTTTAAATTTCCAAAAATTCAAAATAAGAACATCTTTATGAGACGGATGAAATACAATACTCACTATTCAAACTTTATTTACTTTTTTGTTTACTTGTTTTCATTTTTCATAATTTGATAAAATAATATAGTCTTGTGACCACTTGTTTTTTAAAGCTTTTGAAGTAGTTTTTAAATATGTAAATTTATTTTTTTAAATATACCCCTATTGTCTTATAAAATAAATAGAAAATAATTTTAGACAAATATCATAAACCGAAACAAGTCGTATAAAATTGGACAGAGGGAGTAAATACAAATACTAAATACACAGTATATTAAATAAATTAAATATGTGTTAAATAAATAAATAAATAATATGTGAAGTGCTAAAAAGTACTCTTGTTCATATTTAATTGAAATTATAATTTTTAAGATACGCCAAAATTTGAATAAATATTCATTAAATCAACCATTAATGTTTCACAAAAGTTATAATGATTTCTTAAGTATATACTCATTTCATTGCATAAAAACTACGGAGTATTTAATAAGATTATTAAATACATTATATGTTGAACAAGTGTAAAATTAAACATGTCGTCTACATTAATTCAAAATCTAATGTATCTAATAAATTAACTTGATAGATAATTATTGTAAATGGTGAGATTATAAATGAAGGGAGTACCATTATTAGAATTTTAGACAATCTTTTAATGGTACAAATTGATTTCATAAATGTTAAAGTTAATGCTCTCATTAAATAACATCTTTAAAATGCTAAAACTAAACCGAGAAAATTATTATCCAAAAGAGTATTAAGCATGCATAATTTATTTTTGCTCAATTTCATTAATATTGGAGTCCAACATCATAAAATACACCACTCCATTTAAAGATCTTAGGGTGTGTTTAGTGAGCAAACAAGATATGAGTTTTGATATCTCCAGATATCAAAGTTCTTTTTAGGTGTTTGGTGAAGCCAAAAATGATATCGAATTCGATATCTCCAGATATCATAAATTCTTAAAATTGAGAGCTTTGATATCTCCTAAATTTGGGAGACATCAATATGGAGGTTTGATATCTCTCTCAACCATTGATCATTCTCCGTCACCGGCTACCATTTCCATCACCAATTCAACCACCCCCGTTGTTGGTCATCACTGCTTATCACTAATTATATCATGATTTTAAATCTTTCCAAACCAATACGTTTTAAATTTTAAAACTCATATCATTTCTCTCAGATTTCATGACTCATTTCTTATCATTTTTCCAAAACTCACCAAACGGGCCCTTAGAGTCATCCGTTCAATTCTAAAGTGGTTTCTACCCAACCCAACCCCCCTATAAACTCCCACTCCTAGCCTGCCTCCAAGCTTTTCTAATTGCACCGCTAAGTTTGATCGAAATTTTGATCAAAATTTTAACTAGAATATCAACTAAATTTATGAGTGCAATTGAAAGTCCTCGTGGGACGAGTAGGGGGCAAGATGGATGGTGGGTGCTTAAACAGGGAATTACGTGGGTAAGAACTATTTGGATTCAAATGAAGTATGAATCGTAACATTCTAATCTCCATCTTATGACATCGAAATTCAATACCATTTTGGTCTCGTTTGGCATCAACATTAGAAATTAGCGTTAGTATTTTTGAAATGATTATCTGATGGTTGCTTTCCGCGTTAACATTTTCCGAATTAATCTATATCGTTAATATTTTATCTAAAACATTAACGATAATCGAGAAGACTCTTCCCAAACAAGGCCTTAAAAAATGTTTGATTTAATTTACTTTGGAACACTGTCTGGGTAGGCTCTCATATATAGTCTCATGTCACAAGTCTAGGAGTGTGCACAATTTGGTAAACCGACCGAACCGTCCCGAAACCGAAAAATTCGGTACGTACCGAAACCAAACCGAATAATTTGGTTTGGTATTCGGTTTTTCTTTTTGCTAAAATTTGGTTTTCGGTTCGGTTTGCACCAATAATTCGGTAATTCGGTTTTTACCGAATACCAAATTATTACTTCATTTTATTATTTTAAATATTTTGAAGTTTGAATTCTAACCTTGAGTCCTAGCAATTCATATAGTGGTCTACCTTATTTTATCCTTCCTTTTATTCACAATTTCAATTTTAAAAAAAATACTTCATATCTAGCTAAATTTTCTCATGCTTACTATTTGACTCTTTCTTCTTCAATTTTTTTGTTTCATTTATTCTAAATGATCAATACATTGACCTCACTTCGTAGGCAATAAATTATCGATGACTAAAGGTAAGATCTTTTAAACATTTTTTATTTCTTTTTTATATTTCGGTTTTTTATAAGATCAAAATCATGTGCTTCGATAATCTTTTAATAATATGAAAAACTAAGTAATTTATGACTAACTATAGCTAAAAAATATAAAGTATTTCTAATTTCTTTAAATGTTGAATGAGATTGCTTGTGGTACAAATTGAAAATAAAAACAAAAGTGAAGTATAAATGAAAAAAATGAAATTTTTGATTTTTTCGGTATTACTGAATACCAAACCGAAATAATTTTGGTATTAACCGTACCGAACCGATTGAATGCGGTTCGGTATTCGGTACGAATATAATATTACCGAATTTTTAGTTTACCGAAATTTCGGTTCGGTTCGGTACGGTTTTACCGAATGAACACCCCTACACAAGTCCAACCAAGTTAATTACTCGTGGTATTAATTACTTATGGTATAACTCACGTGGATTATTTAGGGCATGCATTAATATAGCCAGATCAGCAATCCAAATTAAAGAATACTACTTCCGTCCCATTGTCTTTGTCCACTTTTGACTTTTGGAACTGTTCATCTAAACACTTTGACTCATCAAATTCTCTTAATGTGTAAGTCTAAAAATAGTCATGTATGATCTTGTTTGATTCGTCTTAACATATAGATTATTAATATATAATATACAAATTACAAGATAAAATAAATTAAAGAAGTGCATTGGATGGTGTGCCAAAAGATAAGTGGACAAAGACAGTGGGACGGAGGGAGTATGTTATTTATGATAACTAATAAGTATGATAACTCACGTGTATTAATATTGGAAAAAAAATATACTCTGTAGTTTTTAATGCACTATCCGTTCTAAAATAATTTATATAAAAAAAGAATTTACTTAATTATGACTAAAACATATTGACTTTCTCAATATAGAATTATATGTTTTTATTTTCCAATATAAGATTTTTGGTCATCATTTATTAGTCATTATTCAAGTAAATGTCCACCGTCACTGGACATTATTCCTTCCACTAAACATTATTAAGTAATATTTAGAGTATAAAAAAGTTTAAATCCTATATTGGGAAATGACTTATGTTTAAGTCTTATTTAATGCAAATTTCACTATATAAAAACTAACACAAGATGAAATTTTAAGTTTTTTCTGATTTATTTTATTTAAAAAATGGTAAAGAAAAAAATAAATATTAATTATTTAAAATTTATATAAAATATTTTACAAAATAAGAAGTAACAAAAACATTTAATTGTATAAAAAAAATCACATAAAAGCCCAAATAAATTAAAATCGGTCTGGTTCTAGTGACACTAGAGAACGATGCCACTCCGGTGCCACTGCGTTTTTGGGGCACCTCCGGTGCTCCGTTTGTAAAATTTACGGTTCCTACCCCCCCAACCCACCCCCTAAACCCCCCACTCTACCCCACCCCTGCACCCCCACCCCAACCCCGCCATAAGCCCCACACAAAATGTGTGGCTATTATGCAATGCATAATAGCCACACATTTTGTGTGGGGCTTACGGCGGGGTTGGGGTGGGGGTGCGGGGGTGGGGGTAGGATGGGGGGTTTAGGGGGTGGGTTAGGGGGTAGGAACTGTCAATTTTAAGAACGGAACACCGGAGGTGCTCCAAAAACGCAGTGCACCGCTAGTGGCACCTTTTTTCGGTGTCACTAGAACCCCACCCAATTAAAATTTCTTTGAGTTTGAAAAAGTGAAATGTGTAAATTATTTGTGTGTGTGTGTATTATTTTCATGCCAATTTTAAATATATTAAATTAAAAACAACTTTACTCAAACACTATAAATTAAATCAAATTGTAACCACTACTTTGCGAGGGAGTTATTGTTATTATTATTATTATTATTATTATTATTATTATTATTATTATAAGTTATTATTCTGATTTTTATTAATAATAATTACATTAATAATTACATATGTCTAAATTAAGTTAGTGTAATATACTCCATTCAAATTATATTGATATAATAAATCTAAGCTTGGGTCAGCAACATTAATCTACACTCTTACTACAGGTGGCTATTTGGGTCAGCAAGCTTGGGAGAGATTGGGATAGTGGCCGGAGGGTGTAACGCCGTGGGGGACATTGTGAACACGGCGGAGCTCTACAACTCCGACACCGGGTCGTGGACTCCGCTGCCGAGGATGAACAAGGCGAGAAAGATGTGCTCTGCCGTGTTCATGGACGGCAAGTTCTACGTGGTCGGCGGCCTAGGACCCTCCGCCCGCCACAAAAACAACCGCCTCTTGACTTGCGGCGAGGAGTACGACCTTGAGGCGGGGACGTGGCGGGTGATACCCCATATGTCCCCACTCTCAAACATCGGCAACGGAGGTAATAATTATAAAATAATAGTATTAATAATAAGAAAAAATTACCTAAAATAATCCCAACTTTATTCGGTCTTTCAAAAATAATCTCACCTTTCACTGTGATGCATAATAATCCCAACTTTACTTAAATTTGCCAGTTTTGGGTCGCCGTTAAGTTTCTAACGGAGGGTTAACGGAAATGCCCGTTTTAGGCAACAAAATGAAAGTTGGGATTATTTTTGATGAATTTTCATTTTTTTTTATTTTTTTTTAAATTTTTCATTTAAATTTTTTAAACTACTTTCTACCTCCATTATCATTTCTTTTTCCTTTTTTAAATATTAATCTTAGTTTAAAAAATAAGAATAATAGATATAAAAATGAAAAAATGAGAAATGTAACTAAAATGATACTCGTACAAAAATAATAAAATAAATAAGGTAATCAATGGAAACTAACTTAAAATTGGTAAAAGTAAAATAAAAATATATGGGTGGGTTTTAATATTTTACGCATTATACAACGTATTAACATATCACTTCTTATTTTTTAGAAAAAATTATCTACGATAATTCAAACTTTACCGGACGGCTTGTTCTTTTAAAAATAAGTAGTACATTAAGACTCCGTATAGCGTGTAAAATGTTAAAACCCACTACTCCGTATATATTTATTTTATTTCTTACCAGTTTCTGTTTAATTTATATTGATTACATTATTTATTTGATTAATTTTGTATAGTTTTAGTTATTTTTCTCATTTTCATTATGTTTATATCTATTTTTTCTAAGGTAAGAATAATCTTTAAAAAAGAAAAAGAAATGGAGGTTGAAAGTAATTCAAAAAATTTAAATAAAAATTTCAAAAAAAAAATTAAAAAAAAAATTCATCAAAAATAATCCCAACTTTCATTTTGTTGCCTAAAACGGGCATTTCCGTTAACCCTCCGTTAGAAACTTAACGGCGACCCAAAACTGGCAAATTTCAATAAAGTTGGGATTATTATGCATCACGGTGAAAGGTGGGATTATTTTTGAAAGACCGGGTAAAGTTGGGATTATTTTGGTTAATTTTTCCTAATAATAATAATAATAGAGATAATAATAATAATAATAATAATAATAATAATAATAATAATAATAATAATAATAATAATAATAGTAGTAGTAGTAGTAGTATATATGTAGTAGTAGTATTAATGATAATAATATATCTTCTTCTTTTAATTATATACTCCATATATAATTGGTTTATTATTGCTATTAAATTTATAAATACACTTCTCATTTGGTTATATCTATACTATTTTTATCAAATGTACAAGTTTATCCTTAACATTATGTTTGATTCAAAAAACTCAAACGAGAAATAGAGAGGAAATGATTTAGAAAATTAAACCAACTTTTTTAGATAGAGAGGAAAAGTATAAAAAAAAAAGGTGATGAAAGGGAAAAAAAGAAGACATAAACTAATAAGGATGTGTTTGGAAACAACATCGGCGTTTATGATTAGTGTTTTGAAAAGGTTACCTAACGACAACGTTTATTTGTAGCATTTTAAAAGTTAATCAATTACATTAGAATTTTATCTAGAAAAAATTGCTTCATATATGACTAAAAGGAGGTACGTTTCTCAGAATATGATCAAATACGGAGTATGTTTTATTTCTTTTATTGCATATAATTCTATGTGATATGATATTAGTAAAAAATGTTGCAAAATGACTGATTATACGAACGACTCTACGAATGTGGTCATTAGCAAGAAATACTTGACAATGACTGATTATTTCAATCACTATTCAAATTATTTTTAATATTCTCTTATTCTACTTGAATTGCGCAATATGTATTTTTTTTTAAAAAACATGACATTTTAGAATTTTCTATTGTCAAACATTAGAGTAAATAAGACTAGTCTTATTTTGCAAAAAAAAAACGGAGTATTATGTGTAAGTCTCATTTGCTTAAATTACTCTTTTATCTAAAACATTCACACTAATAAAGAAACCTTTTCGTTTCGGGCCATCGGATCCTCGGGGATATTGATCGAGTTTCATACCAGCATTATTAATTCATTGCATGCAGGAGGGAGGACGATTGAGAGCGGCGCACCGCCACTCATCGCGGTGGTGGACGACCAGCTTTACGCGGCGGACCACCGGAGCATGGTGTTGAAGAAGTACGAGAAGGGGACGGGGGAGTGGGTTTCCATTGGATGGCTGCCGAGGAGCACATGCTCCGTCAATGGCTGGGGTATGGCTTTCAGGGCGTGCGGGAAGAGGCTCATTGTGATATCTGGGCCGAGGACCAATACGGGAACTGGGCTTATTGAGATCAATGCTTGGGCTCCTAGTGATGGGCCGCGCGTGAAGTGGACTTTGCTCGGCAGGAAGTTCTCCAATAATTTCGTCTATAACTGTGCTATCATGGCCTGCTGATCTGTTTGCTGTTTGGGCTTTGACCTTTTAAATTTGTTTGCTCCGAAAATATTTCAGTTTATATTTAAGGGAAAAAAAATGTTTATGTGATGAGCGAAGTTTAAGAAAAAAACATAATATATATTTATGTGATGGATGAAGCTTTCCTAAATATATCTTAATCAGCGATCCGTTTAAATTATTCTTTTTGCTTATTACTTATTCTTATTATAATCAGATTTGATCAGACCAGCTCAGATCAGAAACAGTTTTAATTATAACTGCAATCATATTCGACCAGATCAGTTCAGAGCTTCAAAAAATCAAATCACATCAAATCAGGCGAATGGAACGCATATATTACCTATGGCGTTCCTAAATATCGTAATTAAGAAGTGTAATAAGCATAATATTACCTAGAGTGTATTAAAGCACAACGGTGTGGAAAATCAACTAGCTTGGGGTTGTGGTTAACTCCTTCCAGCTTTTTAAACCAATGTTTTGAAAAACTAGACTACACATTGAGTTAATCAGACTGGAAATTTGCATGTGGTGCCTTGTATCAAAAGTATTCCATGAGAAGCAGAGGTTATGTGGCGTGCCCCATTAGGTGTTAACAACTTTACTTTAAATTGTTAAATACTTTTTGCATTGTCAAATTTTAATCACTTTATTCTTTTTTAATATTCATTTTATAATATAAAATACGCATGTCATCTCCTGATCTAAAAAAACTTTTTATGTACTTCATAGTTTTTAAATATATATTAATTTTTAGATCTACAATAAATAAAATAAATTGAAAATTTAAAACAAATAAACCTCGTAAATCAGAATGAGAAATTTAGTTATGGACGAAGCTAGGAATATAAATGTTAAAACTACTTGTATATGTGGCCATCAAATGCAAGAGGGAGCAAGTACCGCACCAATCTCAAAATTTCTTAAAATACCATATTAAAAATTTTCTGCAAAATACTCTGTAATCTAAGTTTCATTAGTATTTTTTACATTTAAAAAAATAATTTTTTTAGATATATATTAAATACATATGTATTTATTTCGATTTGTACGGAAAACAAATATTTTTGAAGTAATATTGGTTAGAATGCCTTCCTCGTCAAACAATAGTTTGGAGGCGATTGTAGGGAATGACATCAGTAGTCATAGGAAAGACCGAGAAAGAAGCTATCGACGATTCACCTCAGCCGTCAGCATCCGGCATGGCCGCTTCCGCCATAGACGGCGCAGCAGCGACGGCGCTGCGATCGGTTCTGCAGCGGGTTCAGGTGGCCGCCGATCGATGTAGCCGTCAATCGGATCGGATTCGGGTGGTTGCGGTGAGCAAGACCAAGCCAGTTTCTCTCATCCGCCAAGTTTACGACGTCGGCCACCGCTGTTTCGGCGAGAATTATGTCCAAGAGTTCGTAGAGAAAGCTCCGCAGGTCTTCTCTCTCCACTTGGTGGAGTTTTCTGTGTTTCTCGAATTGAATTGTTTGATTGGGATTCAGTTTTATTTCTATGATGCTGATGATGTTTCTTCTATTTCGAGGCAGCTTCCTGAGGATATAGAGTGGCATTTCATTGGGAATTTGCAGAGCAATAAAGTGAAGCTGCTTCTGAGTATGTTTCCAAACCTAATTATGGAGCTAATGATTTGCTTTTGTTAGTAAATTGGGAATGAGAGATTAGCAGAATTCATTTGACTTTAAGTGAGTTTTTTTTTGTTTTGCTTAAAAAATGCCTTCTTTCATTCCCCTAATGTGTAAGATAAGATGCCTTCTTGATTCAGTTTAGAAAATGCCTTCTTTCATTCCCCTATTTACTATCCTTTGGCACAACATTTAAGAAGTTAAACTGGGGTGGTTGGGATTTATGCAGAGAAAATGCAGACAAGATGAAAAAACAATGTTTTTTATTGATGAAAAATGTCCAAGGTAGATTGGAACACACCAAAAAACAACACAGACAAGAGAATGGGGAGAATAGTGAGAAATGCATACTTGGCACCTGGCAATATGCCAATATATCAATATTTCTCTAGTGCAATGGGGGGTTTGGTTTTATAATTGCGAGTCGTGGTGTAGGATTATAGAAGGGTTCTCACATGTTTGATTACCACAGCTCATAAGTGTTGCTAGCCTATCTTTTCATAAGACCATAGAGGAAGTGAAACGTGTCTAACTATTTATTAAAATAGGTCAAATTTAACATTTTTGATGTATTTTAGTACTAGTAACTTGATGATGTGTAGGCTAACCATATACTAATGCTTACGTGGAAACATCAAACATTCAAACGTAAACTTAACACAGAGTATTCCGTAAGAGACATGCTTGTGTATGTGAACATTGTTGTGTAACAACTTGGTATATCTTATCCTTTCAGCTGGTGTGCCGAATCTTGCTATGGTAGAGACAGTTGATGACGAGAAGGTAAGTGTATCTTTTTTGTTCTCTGCTCTTCGCACACAAAGGCAAAAAAGGGGGGAAAACATTGATACAAATCACCTGTGCAGATACTCATTACCAAAATCCAACAAAATCTATGCAATTTATGTATAAGAAAAAGCAAAAATTGTTTAATTCTCCACAAGATATATGAATGGAGAGGTAAAATATCATTATAATTGCTACCACAATATATTAGACTAATTCAAGCATTCGGGTTTGTGACTAACTCTACATTTTTGGATTCAGTGATTGATCGTCTCAAATGGAAAATTTATGCAACTTCTTGCTTACTGCACAAGAATTGAACTACACCATTGTGTTGATCATGCTACACTATTACTGTCAATTTTTGTTCATGCATCTATTTAATCCATACTTTCACTGCAGTTGATTTTACTATAACACTTTGACTGAGTCAGTTCAGTTTGTTACTCCCATCGTGTAGATTGCAAATCAGCTCAATCGAGTAGTTGGAAACATTGGAAGGAAACCTTTGAAGGTTTTTGTTCAAGTGAATACAAGCGGAGAAGAAAGTGAGTAAACAAAAAAGAGATGGAGTAGGTCTCTGGTTTTCTTATTTCTTTCATAAAATACTTTCCTTTCCATGAAGTAGTACCTATGAGCCAGGGGTCTCTTGGAAACAATCTATATACTTCCGAGTAGGGGTAAGGTCTCCTTACACAAACCCTCCCTCGATCCACTTTCTATAGGATCTTACTGGGTTTGTTGTACAATAAAGTCCCCCAACCCGACTTGTGGGACCCAACTCGGTACTTCGTTGTTGATGATGTACAGGAAAGATCGAAAGATATATGAACCACCCAAGTTTCTAACTTTTGCAGGTAAATTTGGGGTTGAGCCAGCGGGGTGTGTGAGCCTTGTCAAACATGTTACTTCAAGCTGCCCTAACCTTGAATTCTGCGGCCTAATGACAATAGGAATGCCTGATTATACTTCGACGCCTGAGAACTTTAAGGTAGTTATTCTTGTCATTAGCGCCATCGATCTATTTTCTTCTCTGTAAAATGTCCTAACAATACAATTGAAACTGTGGCTTTTAGACTCTGGCGAGTTGTAGAAGTGAGGTGTGCAAGGCAATTGGAATAACCGAAGATCAATGTGAGCTTTCAATGGGCATGTCCGGTGACTTTGAACTTGCAGTAAGCAACTTTTCCTAGCTTATAAAAAAATCATCTTTCATTTTTCGTTACACTTTTTTAAGGTGAAACCAAAGATAGGGAAGTACATCTCCTTGGATTTCCTTTACACTATGTTTGGTTCAAGGAATTTGAAAGAAAAAAAGAAAAGAAAATGAGATGGAGAACAGTTTTCTTGTTTGGTTACAAAGGAAAATAAAAGAGAAGTATAAGGAAAAGGAAATGCAAAGGCAAAATGTACTTATAAGAAGGAAAACCAACTATTTCGGTAAGGAAAATGAAAAAAAAACTATTTTCTTTTCTTTTCCTTCCAAATTCCTTGAACCAAAGAGAGTGCTAACATCCCTACCATTTTAAGATAGGCATAGTTTGGAGTGGGTTCTAACATAGAATGTACTCTGTAGTACTCCATGTGAAATAAATCCAAGTTCATTGGTACATTAGAAAAGTCAAATGATGTTAAGAAGCTGGTTGCTGCAGATTGAAATGGGAAGTACAAATGTCAGAATTGGATCTACAATATTTGGAGCTAGGGACTATTCAAAGAAGCAATAGAACAACCCGAGTCCACCGGAGAAGAATCGTATTTGTTGCTTAGGCTCCGTTTGGTTGCCTTGTATCAGCGGAACAAATAATAAGCTTTTACGGTTAAATAGAGCTCTATTGATACGGTTGCTGTAGTAGTAAATAAAACTCTTAGAATCCCCATTTTTTTAAAATCAACTTTGTGTTTATTACTCTCGTTTTTCCATCATCTCCGATGGAGTCAAAATTTCACCATTTTTGGTTTTGGGGTGTGATGGAATAAATCAAAATGGATCTCTAAACTATCTGTGCTTCTTTAATTAATGAAGTAGCAGTTAGTCAAACACTGCAACTTTCGATGTTGAGCCGTGGGTCTCTTTGGAAACAGCCTCTCTACTTTCTAGTAGGGGCAAGGTCTGCGTACACACACCCTCCCCAGACCCTGCTCTTGTGGGATTTAACTGTGTTGTTGTTGTTGTTGTTGTTGTACTCTCGTATGGTAATATAGTATGAGCTTTAATATCAAGTTATCAGCACTATTTTTTTTGACATTACATTCCAAGGTCATGATAACAGTAGTCCAGTTGAAATCTCTCTGGTACCCTGTTTGACTTGAAAGTGGTTATTGACTTATTTCATAGCTCCTCTTCAAAACCCCCACTCTAGCATGCCCAATTGGATGGACAATGTAGTCACCATTTTGGGTTGAAGGGAGCAACAAGGTAGGGGTCTCATCCGAAATCGAATGTCTAAAGAATTGTGTCTTAATTTTGGATTTATGATTAATTTTTTCTCCATTTACAAATTATTTTAATATTAATTATCAATATATCATTTCCCCCCAATTCAAGTCCGCTGTGTACGTGTATATTCAATGTGTTTTTGTGAGAAGTTGAGCGAGAAAAAACAACAAAAACTACGTTCAACAAAAGTGTGAAAAATTATAAGGTGTCAGAAATCTTAGATAATTCTTATAGCGTACTCCCTCCGTCCCATTTTAAATTATCTGTTTGCCTTTTTTCTCCGTCTCAAAATAAGTTGCCTGTTAGTTGTTTTCGTAAACTTTTAAAAATAAAATATCTAAACTACTCCTAAAATAATCTTCATCTTATCTTCTCATTCATCATCACCCCTTCTAAAAAGTAATGACAATTTTGAAAAATCAACTCTATTTTTTATTTTCCTTAAATATGCCTAAAAGTCAAAACAGGCGATTTAAATTGGGACGGAGGGAGTATATTTCAAAAAAGTAACGCTGGAATTACAAATAATAACACTTACAAAATGCACAAACTTATCATTTGCATATTTTTGTATTTATTTTTTTAATTAATTGAGATCATTATTTGAATCCATTACTTTACATATTCGATAAGTTTATGAATTTTTTGAATGTTTTGTTTTTGACTAGAGCATTAAAGGGAGGGCTCCTTCTCCTCCCAAATTCCGAGAAGAAAAAGGAGTACTATCCACCGCGGAGTAGAAGGAGGTGAGATAGGAAGTGGCCAATCCCTATATGACATGTGTCACTTTTTCTTTTCCTTTTCTTTTTTTTTACGGAGTAATAATATTGGGCTGTAGAAAAAGTTTTTTTACGGTGGAATTGAACAAAAAAATGAATGGTTTGGATTAATTTGAAGATAAAAATTCAACCGCCTTTCTTTTTTATTTTTGAGAAAACATACTTTTCTTTCTTTCTTTTTAAACACCTACTCTTTCTTTTTTTTTCCTTCTAAATATTTACCATAAATAAATTTTTAGAAATGAAATATAAAACTTTTATAATTACTTTTTCCATAATTAAAAATTTACAAGTTCATTTGTAGTAATAAATTTAATTATATGTTTGTAGATAATTTTTGGCTCCTTATTGAAAAAAATTAATTAAATTTTTAAAATATATTAATGAAGTACAATTTTATTTTTCATTAATTTTTAAATTAAAATAATTGTATATAGCATAAATATTTAATAATAAAAAATCATTTAAGTCACATTATAAATATTGTATTACGGAGTACTAATCCTTTTGATGTAAGAGTTGAGGAAGAGTAAATGGAGGAGTTGTGGGTTGTAAGACTAAAAATTTTGCTATTTGTTAAAAAATATGTGATCCAAAATATTTCTTTCATTTGAAAAAAAAAATCTAACTACTTATTTTTCATTATTTAACATATTTCTATACTCGTATTATATTTTCATTTGGAACCACAACTTGCCAACTCCCTCCCAGTGTGTGTATTCGAAGCGTAGCTGTGGGCCAGTTGCATCTGCATCATTATCATGTTGCACAGATTAAAAACAAATGCTCAAAATAAGACAAACTTTCACGCAACTAAAATAAAGACCACAGTTTTTTAACATTATGTTTGGCTCAAGGAATTTGAAAAGAAAAAAAAAGAAATTGTGACGGAATTTCATTTTTTCTCCTCTTAGTACATTTTGCCTTCTTTTCATTTTTTCCCCTCTAACCAAACAAGAAAAATGTTTTTCTTCTCATTTTCTTTTTCTTTACCTCTCAAAACATAGTGTAAGAGATGGATCTAATTTAGCATATTCAAATTCCCATGATTCCTCTATTTGATAACGACCTTTACACTATGTTTGATTCAAGTCATTTTTCCTCACCAAAATGGAGGGAACTCGGGTTTCTCCCCCCTTAGTGCATTTTGCCTTTTAATTTTGTTTTCTTCCACTTTTCTTTTTCTTTTTCTCTCTAACCGAACAAGAAAAATTATTTTCCTTCTAATTTTCTTTTCTATTTCTTTCAAATTCCTTGAACCAAACATAGTGGCAACATCACTGTTCAAAGTAATTCTAAATTTATTTATGAGCAATGTTAGGTTCACAAACAGAATGGTCACAAACTTCACAAACTTACTATTTACGGTTTAAGTTCTCATTTTAAAAATGTTTTACACTACTTATTTTTTTTTATTGAAATTCAGAAATTGTAAATTTGTGAAGTTTATGACCATTGTGTTTGTGAACCAAATGTTTCTCTTTATTAATTCAACATATTTCCCATATTTCAAGCTGCAAATGATACTGAAGTGAGCAAGTGGACAACAAGGGTAATACCTTCTCCAATTTAGACCAACATCTAGTGATCCACTTCAATGTTGTGAGCCCTCCAGAAGACCAGGTCACTCCTGGCTTGCATCATTGACCAGGAGCCAAGCCTAAACCTGTCTCTCCTTCAATGGCCGGATTCACCTGCATCATTGATTGATCCAAGTAAATTAAAAATTTATTAACAAAGAAGTAGCATCTAAAGGATTGGGAACTTACATTTAGTGCACAAATTTCAAAGAGGATTGTTGATGCGGCGAAGGTGGTGGTGAAGAAGTAGCCGCTTCCATCGGCGAACATTGTTCCGACCCCTTATTAGTTCGTCTGCGTGCGTCATCGTCCTCTGGCGCTGAAGGCAAAGAAGCTGCTTGGATCGGAAGTGGAGGAAATAGAAATAGTGTAGTCATTCATTTGCCAGAATTAATCAGCTTCCAATCTATTGCAATGAACAAAGAGAGAGGCGTACTTCGGATCCTGAATAGCGGGAGGGGGCGTGCGCTGAACAGAGTGAACGAAGAGTTAGAGATAGAGGAACAAAGAACGATACATACGGGCGGGAACATTGTTCCAATTTTCCTCCTATCTTTGTATCAACAGAGATAGATTCTTAAAGAAGAACCTTTCATTAGCAGGGAGTATCAGTCTCACAGAATTCAAGGTCAGCCATGAACACTGCATCTCCACTCTCCCTACTTAAAATGTTTAAAAGAGACATAATGTCGTCATGTTGAGGATGAGAACTGTGACCCATGAAAAATGCCGTAATATTCCCCTGCAAGTCGATAGAACTCCAACCTGGAAGCTTTTTCAGGCCAAGAGATTTCATTTGGAACCACACCTTGCCAACACCCTCCCACTGCGTATTCGAAGCATAGCTATGAGCCAGCTGCACATACTTCCCTGCATCATCAGGTTGCAGTGCAGAAATCTCACTGGCAATAGCATCCCTCAAATCCACTAGATCCTTTGCTCTACAAGAATCAAGTAGTATACCCAAAACATCAACCATTGGCTCGTGGAACCATGTCTTGTAAAATTCATATGCGTCTTTCACCCTACCAGATCGACAAAGGAGATCGACAATACAAGCACAGTGTTCATCTTCTGGCTCAATCTTGAAATCATTAATCATGGAGTCGAACAAGCTCATCCCTTGCTCAACAAGTCCACTGTGACTGCATGCATATAAAACAGCCAAGAAGATAACCCTGTTTGGTGTCATCCCACTTCTCAAGAGTCTCGAGTACAACTCAAGAGCTATCTTTCCTTCTCCATGACTACCATGACCTGCTATGATTGTGCTCCATGAAACCAAATCGTGTTCCACCATCCTGTCAAAATACTTCCTGGCGGTGGTTACATCGCCACACTTACAGTACATATCAACCAAAGCAGTGTCTATCATGATGCAAGGCCCAAGATAGGTCCGCAGAACAAAACTGTGGACCCACTTTCCTTGCTGAAACCCTCCCGTGGAGGCACAGGCTTGAAGAAGGGAAACAATGGTTATCGAGTCAGGCTTTTGATGGGTTGTTCTCATTTTATTGAACATGTGGAGAGCCATTGATAAATCACCATTCTGCGCATGCCCAGCAACAATGGCATTCCATGACACCACATCTTTTTTCTCTATCATGTGGAAAATAGCAAGACTTTGCTTTAAATAGCCACACTTAGAATACATAGTGACGAGAGAGTTTTGGGCAGGAGAGTCCATTTCTATTCTTTGCCTCAGTATGTAAGCATGTATTGAGGTTCCCACTTTCAGTAAACCCAACTGCGAACAAGCAGAAAGTGTGCTGGCTAAAGTATTAGTAGATGGCGCAGTTCTTGAATCCAGCATCCAACGGAAAACTTCTAATGCCTTGTTTGGATGTTCATTTTGAACAAGGCCTGAGATAACTGATGTCCATAAAACTGCATCTCTATAGTTTGCTCTCTCAAAAACATTAAATGCGTATTCCAAGTTTCCACACTTAAGATACATGACTATAATTGATGTTTCAAGCTGTACGTCTAATTCAAATCCCTGGGATATGATCTGGCCATGAACCAATCTTCCAATTTCAAAACTTCCCTCTTTTGAAACAGCAGAAATCAATGACCCATAGGTATGCGAATCAGGATTCACACCCTCAAACCTCATTCTACGCATAAGCCTCAAGATTTCGTTTGTGTTCCCCTTCACCACGTAACCTGAAATCAAAGAATTCCAAGAAACAACATCCTTTTCATGCATGGACTCAAACAAGTCCCTTGTGCAACCAACGTTTTCGCTCTTACTATACAGGCTTAACATACAGTTCATCAAGACAACGTTCGATGTGAAACCACATTTTACAATGCTGGAATGAAAGCATCTCACATGGTAGCTGATCTCCGTCGCCCCGGAGAGCAATGTCAAAACAGTAACGGCACTCGGCTTTATCCCATCATGCTGCATAGAATTATACAACAGGAGCGCATTGCGAGCATCACCATTCCGAGAATAACACCCGATAATGGCTGTCCACGGAACAATACTCTTCTCGGGCATTTTATCGAACAGGTTGTGAGCTTTCTCTGTGAACCCAAATTTGGAATAGAAGCTGATCAGAGAAGATGCGATGTAAGAATCAGAATCAAACCCATTGACGAGAACGTGTTGGTGGACAGAGAGACCGAGGCGGAAGAGGTTCAGGGAAATGCATGCTTTGAGGAGGCTGGGGTAGGTGAAAGTGTCGGGGGGGACGGAATCTTTCAGCATGGAGACGTAATTGAGTAACACTTGGCGGTGGGCGCCTCCGCGTGACAGGCGGTTGATGTTTGCATTGAAGGCCTTGGTGCAGCCGGAGTGAAGTGAGCTTGGTGGGAGCTTGATCATCGTTCATGGAGTCCTCATATTATTGCGTTCATCATAGCCATTACGATTTACGAGTGATTGAATGGACAAAGATCTGATTTTGACAATCTAGGTTTAACAATGAGTTGAGTGATTAGGGCATCTCCAATGGTGCTGCAAATTGAAATTGCTATAGCATAAATTATTTTGTTTAGTTTATGTATTTATTCAATACATAAACTAAACAAAATACAGTACTTCATGATACAAAAATTACTTTCAAAATAAATTTCTCCATAACAAAAATGGAGTACTCTATTTTGTTCTTTTGTTATTGCTATATCATAAATTATTTTGTTTAGTTTATGTATTTATTTAAATGTAATTTATCGTTTGATGAATTTATTAAAGTTTAAAACCATAAAAAGAAGGGGAAAAAATGAATATACTCCGTAATAAATTTGAGTTTAAATTTGGAGTGATAGATTGAAGATGAATTATTGAATTTTTAGTTTGTACTGTATTTTGAGTTTGAGTTTGATGTATTAGATTGGAGATGGTCTTACATTGGAACTTTGGGGAGATAATATGAACTTTGAAGATGGTCTTCTTATTTTCCATGTAACTTTTTAACATGTAAATTTAATTAATTATTCTTATATTAATTTTTAAATACATTGATTTTAAAAATGAAGATTTTGTCTCGTAAATAAAAAATTGTAATCCAATTCGAGAGTATTATAATGCTAATTATTCTTTTAAAAATTAATTAATACACTTCACTACATTATAACACAAAGACCTATTTTGTCCAAATTATGCCCTCAATTCCTTGAGACAACCAGAAAGCATTGGATTATGACTATGGGATTATTCTTCTTATTACATGGTACTTATTATTATTAAAATCAGATCAAATAAAAAATTATTTCTCTATGATCAAAATCTACTTTAAGTTTAATCAATGATTGACTAGTTAGATTTTTGGGTATGAGGCTCATCCTTTTAAGTAAGAGAAAATTAAACTTTTCTTTTATTCTATATGCCTCGGTTTACAAGCCTAAATAAAATTGGACGAAAATGGAGTACTTTACTTTGGTTTTTTTCATTTTACTTTGGTTATTTGTAATTGTAAAACTCTTTTTTATGTGGCTTTCACGCTTTTTATGTGTCTTGTTTGGCTTTAACGTATCACGTCGCTCATGAGTCATGAGGGCTCCATGTAGCAAAATTAGGCCTTTAATTTTTTATACAAAAATATGACTTTAAAATTGATATCAGGACTTTTATGTCCCTCATTAATATTTTTTAAATAGAATTACATTTGTTTACAAATTAAAAAACTAAAAATAAATTACAATTTCTAAAAACTATGACCCCAACCTAGTCAGTGCAATCCTTGATTTGTCAACTTCGTCAATTCCGCTTCCCTAGGAACTGCCAGAAAGCAATAACGTTCAACACAATATCAAAATGTCATATAGTCAAACAACAAAGTCATAAACTCATAATGCAAAAAATGACACTAGGAAAAATGGGAAAAAAAAGACTAATTTTTATTCTTTTATAAAAAAAAATAATCTGAGTAGAAATAGATAAATATTAAACATAAAAGAAGTATAATCATTATAGAGTGAAATGATGAGTGCAATCAGCACTTATGTACTGGTGAGTGACTGCTAATTTGGCACGAGAGTGGGCTGGGGTGGGTATTAGGAGGTGAGTTGGGGTGAAGGATTTAGGGAATGGGTTTGAAAAATATAAACAATTAATTTTATAATTGGAGGATTCGAAATACCTAATTAAATTTAGAGAGTAGTTGATTAAACAGTCACCCTGGAATGTCACTCCACGGATGGGTGTGGACCACCCGGATAAGGTGTCCTTTTACTCTCTTCCGCAGCATACAAACCGCCCATTGTTGAGCCAGCAGATGATATAAGATGATCATCGGCGTCGGAATTACAAGGCCGCCATCCGCGACGGGATTGAAGTTTCCGTTTAGCATCTCCCACCGCCTCCTGAGGCCGTGCCGGTGTGGTCCCGGCAACGAGGACGACCGTTTCCTGAACTCCGTCCTTCTCGCCTCCCCGGACGACGACAACCTCCGCCGTATGCTCCGCCAATTCGTCGAGTCCACTTCCCAAGACTATGCCGTCGGCACTCTCTTCCGCCTCACCTCCCCCGCCACCTCCTCCTCCAACCCTCGCCTCTCCTCCCTCGCCCTCCCAGTTAGTCTCCCTCTCTCTCACACTCTCATCTATTTAACAATTCTATATAATCATCCTGTAAAACACATGATGTCAAATTCTGATGTTAAGATAGATTTACCCATTGAAAACTGAAAAGTGTGTGATTTGCAGTTATACCAAGTGCTTACGGAAACCGCGTGGTTCCAATGGAGTCCGAGGGTAGTGACGAAAGTCATCGCCCTGCTGCACAAGCAAGAACAGCACTGTGAGGCCGAATATCTAACAAAGGAAACCATCTCCATATTAAACGTGAGAGGGAAGAGCGCCCTGACGATCTTCTACGGGCAACTGGTAGAAGAGCTATCAAAGCACGAATTGCGGCGAGAAGTTCTCCATACTTGTGAAGAGCTGAGGCGGCACCTCCTGGTTGGAAACCGCCCAGCGGCTTGGGCATTGCTGTTCGGATATCAGTCCATGATCAAAGCCATGCATCTCTTGGGAATGCCTTATATAATCGAGAAGCTGATGGAGGAAATGCGAGAGTTAGGGCTTAAAGTATCCGCGTTTGAACACACGTGTTTAGTGTATGGGTATGGGAAACTAGGTCTATTCAAGGAGATGAAGAGGGCTTTGGCTGATATGAGGAGAGATGGGTTTGCGGTCGATAGACTTGTTACTACCATGGTGCTTTCGTCCTTTGGGGCACACGGGCAGTTGGGGGAAATGGAGACATGGCTTCGAAAGATGAAGGATGCGAATGTGAAACCCCATATGCGGACTTTCAACACTGTCCTCAACAACTGCCCTAAACTACGGGCGTTGCTTCAGGACGCGATGGAGAAGGACGAGGACTTGCCACTTTCACTCAAGGAGTTGCTGGATTACCTTGGGGGGGACGAACGCTCGCTGGTTCTCTGTCTTGTTGAGTCGTCATCTCTGATCAGGCAGACGCGCATCTGGGCAAACTTGGATTTGCATGGGATGCATTTGACCACTGCATACTTGTTCATGTTACTGTGGCTTTGCGAGCTTAGGTGGATATGTAAAAGACACAGTTATAAGCTGCCGAGTGAGGTTAAGGTTGTGTGTGGGAAGGGGTCGCACAGTGTCGTACGATTTAAATCCCCTTTGCAAGAGCTGGTGCAGAAAATGGTAGTACAGTTGGATTTACCACTTAGGAACGACAGCGAGACAATCGGATGCTTTGTTGCTAAGGGGAAGATTCTTAAAGACTGGATGTTATCGCATAAGGGTGAGAGATTTGATGATGAGTGTTTTCTCAAAGAGTCAGTGAAATAGCATCCAATTCTTCGAAAAAAGGGTCTTATTGACATCATCTCTGGTATAGACATTTTTTTGTGGATAGAATACAACAGACAAATTGGATTGCAAAAAAAAAAAGCCAACTTCTCAACAATGTGTAGTTTTGATCCTGTCTTC